AGCAGGAGCCATGAAGAGCTCTGTCTGTCCTCGTAACCGGTGCTCACCAAAGGCTGACACACTGTCTAGCTGCCACACTGTTCGCCTCCTTCAGCTGGACTGGGATGAGGAGGCCTGCTACCTCGGCCCAGGTTTTCACAGAGTAGTGATCCTCAAAATACATGGAGATTTCTGAGGGGAACCCCTTCCCCAATGGACTTGGCTAAGACTCAATTTTACTAATACAGGACAATTCTTCCTGCAGAAAGTTGGAGGGTAAGAAAACGCTCCCAATGTCCCTCCCAGTATTTGGTCCAAAGATAAGATTACTAGTTGTTTTAAAGCAACCACTAAAGCTGCTGCTTACTCACTGTATTTGTCAGGGTCTTCCAGAAAAACAGAAGCAATAGGATAAACACGTGCGTATATATAACATGTTATTATATGCTACATATATAATGCACATATGTAAAAAAGGATTTGTTATAGGTAGCATACATTACATGTTATATATTGCATGAATATACTATGCATATGTTACATATATGTAAGATGTTTGATGCACATATCATGTGTTACATGCTATTACATGCACATGTAAACGAAAAGGGTTATTCTATATTATAGGTGATACACACATGTGACACATATATGTAAAAGAAGGGATGTGTTATATATCATATAATACGTGTTATTTTATATATTACATGCATGTCATACACTTACACTGCATCTATTCGTAGAAGGGATTTGTTACAGTAATTACCCTACATAGTCACAGGGTGGAGGAGTCCCACGTAGGCTTGAACACAGGAGAAATAGCTGCAAGCCTTGAGCAGGGAAGCTGGTGCAGTTCCAGCCCAAGGCCTGAAGGGGCCCCTCGGGAGGCTGCAGACCCAGGCACCTTCAGTCAGTGCTAGGAGTCCAGAGTCCAAAGGTTCAAGAAGGTGGAGTCTGGATGGCTGAAGGAGCACAGGGTAAACTCTCAGAGAGCAGGTGGAGGAGAGGAAGGGGCAGGCAGGTGAGAGGAGTGAGACCCACAGCCACTCTGAAGCAAGGGGAGAGAGAGAGGGGGACCCTGCCTCCTCCGTCCCTCCTGCTCCCACTCAGTTGTGGTACCTGCCCTGTTCAAGGGTATCCCCTCTCTCAGCCTGCTGACTCACATGCCGGTCATCCAGGCAGCACCCTCACAGACAAACTTAGAAGCCACGTTCCAGCTTCTTCCAGCTTCTTTCAGTCCAGTCAAGCTGACACCCAAAGTTAGCCATCATACTCCAGAAGTAAGAACTGGACTGTCTTTGTCCTGTTTTGTTTGCTTTCCAGCATGTGCACTCACTGCAAAGAAGGAAAGGAGAGAGAGCGAGCAAGAAAACACCCCCATGGGAGATGGCACCCTGCAATCCCTTCTCCATCTCTTGGGATTTCGAGAACACACGTATACACACTCAGCCTGTTTCTCAAGCTGCCAGGGCTGGGACTCAAACCACACGGTCATTTGGGACCCAGTGCTGGCAGACCCTAGCCCAGACGTTTAAACGCTGATGCCAGATTCTTATAAGAGAGAACCCGGTTTATTTTGCTTGAAACAGTAGTCTTATCCACTAGCCAGGAGCTACCGAGTAAGAACAGGGTGGGCAAAGGGTACAGGTAAGTGAACAAGTGACAGGGAAGAAAGCCCAAAAAGCCTCTTCTGAATCCTTCACTGTTTCTCCATGTAATACAAAAACTAGTGCCTGGGTAATACCAACCTGTGTTGTTGGATTTTGTGGGTTTATTTTTTTTCTTTTTTTTGGCTTGGTTTTATTTGGATTTGAATCAATGATTTAGCTAAATATTTTACTAAAGTTCCTATTTAACTTTCCCCTTTGTCTAAAGCAGACATTTTTCTTGGTAAGAAGAGTGGGGTGGCAAATGGATATGGGATAGGAAGTGGCTATGGAAGCTTTGCTCTGACCATTTCATTCTAGCCGTAAAGCAAGTATTTAAAGAGCACTACCCTCTCGCCACCCCTGGGGAAAGAAGCAAGCCAGCCTCATTGCATTGTCTGTCACGAGGATAAGAAATACGTTTACTTTAAAAGGGAAGTGATAATTTGGAGTATGACTCTGAAAATAAGTATAGGTATTTAAGACTACAAATGAAAATGATTCTTATGCTATAGGGCCGAGCTAACTTCGAAATAATGTTCCCATGCAATTACACCCCGTCCAGTTTTCTTTTCCCAACGTTATTTGTGGCCTGTCCTTTCTCTGAACGTGGTCGAGTGCTCGTGTGAGAGGCAGGCACACAGCTCAGTACCGTGCACGCTGCTGCCCACTCCCAGGACCAGGTTCTACGTGTGGGGAGAGCGACATGGCTGGAACAGTTGTGACCCAGCAGCTGCGCAGGGCTGGGCTCAAAGGCCACGCAGCAAGGAGCTGAAGGTCTTAGAATCCGTTCTGGGGATTTACCTGTCCTTGAAATAGCTTCTGTTTCCTAATGCCAGAGAGATCTTAACAGCCTTTGCTTTGCCCCGTTTCCCTCCAGGCTCACCGCAGGCATGAATGCTGATGTGGTGTGTCACACTCTGGAGTTTTGTAAGCAGGACGCTGGCCAACCACTGTGTCATCTCTACGCCCCACCCAAGGTCAGTGGCTTCCATTCTCAACGTCAGTGTCCAGTGACATGCAAGCCCTCTGGAATCCTGTAAAAGGAGGTTCAGCTTCATTCGCTCAGTGGTTTGGGGACAGTGAGAAGCAAGACGACATTTTCAATTACACTGCATGGAGTAATAGTCCTGTGTTTTAACCCAGCTCCCAGCCCTGTGCTGCCGGGAAATGGCTTTGCTGTTGTGGACTGTAATTTTGAGCTGGGCTAGTGGTAGGTAGGAAATCTAATCAGATAAGGAGACAGGGAGGTTTTAATCCCTCTCTAACAATTGCAAATTTAACAAGTCACTCTTACAGAGCGACCCACTTACTCCACCCACTTACTCCGGTGTGCCCAAGACCTTCCTGAGGCAAGCACATCCTTGAAGAATAGGGCAGTGGGTCTCCTGGTCTGAACTTTGATTCTTGCCCATAAAACGGGTCATATGGGGCTGGGTGGTGGTGCAGCAGAAATGCTGTGCCCTGCGTGGCTGACCTCACGGGAAGGCTCTGGGTTCAAATCCAGAGACCTCCCAAACATGACAAGCACTTGCCCGTGATCTGGAGCTATGGAGGCTGCAGGTGGACTAAGGGAGAAAAACCCCTTGGAGATTCTTCTCCCTACCACTCTCTCTCTGTCTCTCTCATTCATGGAAAGAAGAAAGAAACTTTAAAATATGGGATATACCAAAACACCTGCCTCATTAGCTTATTATGAGAAATAGATGAATTAATCCCTATAAAATGCTCAGCATAATATCTGCTACATAAAATAAGTTAATAACAATGATAGCTAATATAATCATGGGTATGATTATTACCTGAGAAAGCTGCTCAGGATACTGTGTGCTAATACCTTATCATATTGGGGCAGCTTTTAACTGGGCTACAGTTAGAGAAAAGACTGCAAAGGCTGACACGACTGCCTAGACTCTAGATGACAGCATGCTGTTAAATCTGCTTAGGCCTCACAAAGCTTCCAGTATTTCACACACACACACACACACACACACACACACACACAGGGGCCAAGGGGCCAGCAGGTGGCATGGTGGTTAGAGCACTGGATTTCCACATGGCTGACCAAGGTTTGACCCGGACCTGGTGGCTTGCTTTCTTTCTCTCTCTCGTTCTCGCTCTCTCTCTTGTCTCTCTCTGGTGAGCACATGTTCTCTATAGCAAATTTTAAAATAATAATAATGATGATGAATAAGATTTTAAATTGTGTGTGTGTATGTGTACACTTCTTTTCTCAGAACTGTGTTTTTTCTGTATACAACACGAGGTTTCCATTTCAATTATGATTTCCAAATATCTTTTTTATTCATGTTGAAATGAAGTCACTTTAATACCTTGCGGTCACATGAGTGGACAGTTTTGCTGACATGTTAAGTCCTGTAACCCCGCCTCCTCGATCGGGGGAGAGATGCAATTGCCTGAGGGATGAGCGTATTTCTTGTTTCCTTGGCCATTGCCCAAGTGCCAGTTCGATCTCGCCTGAGTCCACCTGAGAAGCTGTGAACGCCACTGGCTTCCAAAAGACTTACTTCCTTTTCATTTGAATAAACATTTTCATGTATCCAGATCATATTCAAATCATATGTGAATATCCTATAACATTTGCCATCTCATTCTGCAAGGAGACGTGTCTACACAGGCAGGCAAGTGCTCAGGTGTTTGTGATTCCCTTGAATAACGTGCAACATACACACTACACCTGCAGATGTACATATTCACAAAATGCTCACTCTCATAGAACAAAACCCCATCCGTAATCCACCAGAGCAAGAAACTCTCTACAATGCTCAACTGGCACCAAAAGAAGGGCAAAAGGAGAGGAGGAGAGAGAGGAGGAGAGGGGAGAGGAGAAAAGGCAAGAAAAAGGGAAGGAAAGGAAAGGGGAAAGGGGGGAAAGAAGAAAGAAAAGGGGAAAAAAGAAGCTGCAGGATCAGGGGCAAAGACTACAAGATGGTCCTGCATTACCTCTTTTGGGAGGACTGTGCTTACCACTCCTCTTATTTGCATAAAAAATGGGCATCCATTGTTGCCCGGGTATGTGTGTGTGTGCACACATGCATGCATCCTGGAGCCTCCTTGGTATTATGCTGCCCCCTTCTGGGACCCTAACCCTGAGGTCCCCAGGTAGACCTTGAAGCTTTTAAATAAAGTTAGCAAGACCCTTCCTAACCATAGCTGTGCTGGAGGGACCTGCTGCATTTACCAGCATCGCGAAGGCACGTTCAAGACTTCTTACACTGCTTTGATCTGCATGAAAGGAGAACTGTATTCAGAATGTGTACTTTGTGTGCAGACAGCGTCTCCTTATTTCCCTGTGGCCTCCAGCCCACTCACACCGCTGGGAGGGAGACCTACTGCCTGAGGAAAACAACTGAGACTTTGAAACGGCTTTCCCCACAGTGACTCAGGTTTCTGCAGGAGCCAGAACTCTCCGACGCTGAGCATGTGGGAGTGTGTGTATGCACAGGGAAGTGGCGTTTCTCTGGAATCCAAGCCACCAGGGAGCTGACACAAATGGGTCTGGGAAGGAGTGAGTTCGCATACTTTTTTATGGAAAAATGGCATGCGACAAATTCTTGTTCCATGGAGAAATAAGCAAGCTGACCTCAGAAACATGCACTTATTTTATTTTTTTAATGTTAGATGTCAAATAAAACACCTGGTCTCTCTCTCTCTCTCTCAATGCCAGAGAGCATGTGCCCATGAGCAAGAGGGAACGAGAAAGAGAGAAACAGAAAACTTACCCCCAACAGAACACAGTCACCCCACACCCCACAATACTTTCTAATTCTCTATCCATCAGAATCCTGGGCACATGCACATGGGCCTAGCAAGTTTCTCAAGTTGAAGGGACAGCAACTCAAACCCTGGCTGGCTGTGTGGGATCTGGCTTCCTCTGCACAGCGTCTAACAGCCGCACTTAGGCCAACCCTGGCGTGTCTCTAATAGAAGTTCCCAGGTGGTAAGGTTTAGGAAGAGAATCACAGCTGGACAGGAAGCTGAATATTGCCTGAGTCCTTAGTCGCTCGCTGTGTCCTTCTGTTCGTTGCTCTGCTTGGCTCTGTGGGCTCACATCTTGCTTTCAGATGGGGCGTCATCTAGGCTTCCCCACACTCTACTTAATAAATTTTTATTTTTATTTTATTTTATTTTTTTAATTTATTAATTCACTTTACACCATCACAACACACAAATGAATTTTCCATCCAAAATACACTGTGCATTGTCTCAATCAAATGTATGTACATCCACATACATGTTCTCAGCAAATAATTTTCCAATTCTTACGTCCTGCATACCTTGCCCTTTGTCTTGCCATCCCTGATTCCCCATCCCCCACCCTCTGCTATGTCCCATCTTCCTCCTCCATTGTCCCTGGCATCCATGGTTGCCCTCCATACCTTCCTCCCCCACCCATTCAATTGTTCTGCCAATGAACTTAATTAGCCTAAATAAATCCATTAGCTAGCACAGCTGACACAAACCTACACATGTATCCAAGTCTGACCCTAGGCATAAACCCCGGTGAGTAGAATGAACATACTATAAAGTAATACCCAGCTGTGCCCATACAGCTCGCTGCATTCATCAATGTGC